TTGATATTTGAACAAACATAAGATCAACCAATAATCACTAAGGATTAAATGAAAAAGAAATAATTAATTTTGTTCTGATTTTGCACAATGTTTACATCCCTACTTTATTTAAATAGGGAAAAACGTCGTGATGACTCGAAAAATAATCAATTAACTCAATTGTAAAAAGAATTTTAAGAATAAACGAATTTTGAAGGAGTCTCCTCCTAATTTTAGGAAAAAATAGGAAACCATTTAAGTGATCTACGAAACCATTAGATTCTAGGTAAGTGGTTCAAGTTATTCCGAAGGGAAGGTGTTAGGCATCCTTCGAAATCCACAACTGTGATTCCCGACTGAATTCATTTTTTTCAAATTGAAGAGGAGATAAAACAATATACAAGTAAAACAAATATGCGATATTCACAAGTAATAAAATAAAACATAATATAAAACACGGCCTAAAGTTTGCCTAACATCGATATATACAAAACAATGAATACACAATATAATTCGAACTTCATTCGAATAGCTCCAATGAGAAGCAACTTCATGTACCTGTAAAGACGCTTAGTACGTAAAAGTGTTAGTACCAAATAAACATGAATAAAAATAAATGAATTAATTAATATCTTAAAAATAAAATTCCGTCTTATTAACATGGGATGCCTTGGAAATCAACGATAATTTCTTCATCGGCCAATTTTAACAAATAATGTATCTTGCTCAATATTAAAATAACTAATAATCAAAACAATCATCGATATATACAAAACAATGAATAAACAATATAATTCGAACTTCATTCGAATAACTCCAATGAGAAGCAACTATGTGTACCTGTAAAGACGCTTAGTAAAAATGTTAGTACCAAATAAACATGAATAAAAATAAATGAATTAAATAATAACTTAAAAATAAAAATCCGTCTTATTAACATAGAAGGCTTTGGAAATCAACGATAATTTCTTCATCCGCCAATTTTAACAAATAATGTATCTTGCTCAATATTAAAATAACTAATAATCAAAACAGTCATAATAGTGACATTGCAAATAATTCCAAATTGGAAGTTAATTTATAGAGTGAACAAGTCACTTGAAAACTCATCACCCAATCAAAATTGCTTAAATAAATATACAACTCTAAATAAAAACTCAATAGAAATAGAAGACAACTCACTAGATTTGGAACTCGACATTAATAATAAATTAAAAGATGAAGATTGAAAATACATTGACTGATAATAACAATAACAATAACAATAAAACTTTAGACAACATTATGCAACAATTATCTATCAACTAGATATATAAAATAATGACAATAAAAGAATGGTAAAATCACGAGAAATAGAGAAGTCATAGTAACATTTGAATAAATTTTCAAAGTATGAAACCACATAAATCAGTAACTAAAAATGTAACAAAAGAAACATAAAAAAGAATATCCGAAATCACAAGAGTTGGCATCAACAACAAGAAATAATTTACCATGAACAAATTAAAACAATAGTAACAATTTAAAAATAACTACTGTGAAGTCTTAACATAAATCCATTTAAGAACAAAAAAGTAAAAATAAATAAAATAGAACATAATTAACACTTATGAAAGAAGAAAAGAGCAGACCAACTTTTGCAACTTCAATAATAAACAACAACCAATTAACAATATTAAGGCATTAATAACTAGTAAAGAAAATCATCAAATTATGAATCCTAAAAGAATTTCTTAAGACTTAAAAAATCTGAAATTACTCCTAAAATTTTATCCATCACCATCTAACTTAATGACTAAGCTATTACTTAAATAGAAAATTGAAAACCACATATAATATAATACTATTATCTTAAAACCGTGGGCCGAAATCGCTAGTTAAATAAAATATTTGTGTATGAAATCTTATCTATATTTGAATGAATTTCTAGACTGTGCAAAATATCAAAATGAATATTAACAAATGTAACGAATAAAATGAATATTAAAAAAAATGTAATGAACATAACTAATGACATGTAAAAAGTGCAATTTAACAGAAATAACGATTTAATGAACAAATATTTGAACGTATTCAACCGGTTATGAAAAAAAATAATGCAATTAAAATTAACTTATAAAAAATCCTGAAATTTGACAAATAAGGATGAATATCGATAAACTTACTTAAAATTATAAAAAATATATTTTGAACTATTGAATAAATAAAACTTAAAAGTTACGAATTTTGAAAATGTTAGGCCAAAATTAAGTGTCAACACACACAATAAGAAATATTTTAAGACAAATACTTTTAATAATCTTAACAATTACTACGAGACAAACAGAGTAATATATGAAGGTTTACCGCTGTAATTTGTATAGTAGTAAAAACTAACCTACATAATTACTCATCCAACCGCTAATACTAAAATTGCTAGATGGTAGATATACAATATGCGTATATTTTCTATATAAAAGTATATCTATAATAATATATAGTATATGATATATGTATATCGATTAGAAAACGTAAATAATGAATATAATTGGCTATTTAAAAACTAGTTGGTTTGGCTCATTTGATATTAATTATTAAGCTATTAATAATTTTGCTTGTTTAAAAAAGGACATCAGTCGCTCTTGTTCACGTGGTTGAGGGAGTGTTCTCCGCACCGCTAGGTCACGAGTTCAAGACTGATACGATATGTTGGGAAGTTGAAAAGAAAAAATAAGGTATTATAAAATATCCTTTTTTTAAATATATTTTTAAAATTTAAATACATTTTGGGACATATATAATATTTAATATGTCATTTAGTTAATTTACTCAATTTTATAAACCTACTACGCTTCATAACAGAAGACTATTGGATACATAAGATTAAAATATATAATATTTTATGATTTTTAATCAGCTCTGAAGTCATTTTATTGTTATTTATTTAAAATTGTGAGATTACTATCCCATATAGAATTTGGGATAAAATAATCTGATACTTCATCCCCGCATATCAAGATTATTATTTTTTATTAGGGAAAATTGTACATAATGGCAAACTATTAATTCAAATTAAATGGTATAACCACACTTTGATTTAATTGTGCCCTACAGCAAATTGTTTGTCAGCCGCCTCTCTCCCTCAAACTCTCGCTCGCCACTCTCCCTCTATCGCTCGCCTCTCTCGCTTTATACAACAGAAGTGCATAAATTGTGTTTCTGTTTGTATAAAGCGAGAGAAATTTGTATATACACATGCAAATACATATATATTCGTCCTATACACTTATAATTATACAATAAAAATATGCTACTACCCAGTTCTCTTTTGCCTTTCTCTTCTCGTTTTATACAAACACAGATTATACAAATATAATGTATTTTGTTTGTAATGTATAATTTATGTTTGTATAAAGTGAAAGATAGAGCGATTTTTAATATACAAATATTTTTGTCAACGATTTATACAAACGAGAGGCTAACAACAATTTATACAAATGGCCTACCAGCAAAATTATACAAATCTGAAGAGGAGCCAACAAATTATACAATTGCTTCTTTTTTGTATATATATATATAGCAAAATAGACATAACTTTCAATTGTATATGTATAGCGAATTATACATATATATGTTTGCTATGGAGCACAATTATGCAAACTTTGCTATAGTATACAAATATGATTTTCTTGTTTGTTATATGTGAAAGTTGCTCTTTTTATTATAACAATTCTTTTAATTTAAAAGGAGAACAGTTGACTAACAAATAAAATTGTTGTCATGTGATCAAGAAGTTAGGAGTTCAAGTCGGGCTCTTACAAAATGTAGAAAATACTACATATAATGCTATACACATGAGTTGTCTTACAATTAAATGCATTGCAATTAGAGAGTCAAACTTGGCCTCAACTGGCAAGTAAGCACTTCAGCTTCAGAAGTGCACATCACACCTCAAGTTGGTCTTAACGGGCAACTTAGCACTCCAACTCGTCCCAAATGTGTCTCATGGAGTGCTAAGTTTCTTGTTAATCATATTCATGTTATCAAAAAAATCAGTTGTAATCTCACAAGTAGAGTCTAAAGAAGGTGGTGTATGTCCAACTGTTATCTACTTGGCAAATAGACATACAAAGTAGTATGGGATATTTTCTTCATGTTTATGATAGAACCTGCTAAGGTATCTAGCTAGTAGTGTGACACAATTAATTAGTAGTTTTTTTATTTAGTAAGTCGTTGGACTATGAGCTACTTACCATTATTTGGTTACCTTTTAACTTTGAATTCGAGTTTTTATTGATCGGTTTCATAATCATTTCTTAGTACTAATTTTTTTTGCCAAATTTACCGACATACAAAATTTGTAGCTTAATTGTAAAATTCGTCGCTAATCCTATTTAATGATGAATTAGCAATGAATTTTCATTAACTACGAACAAATTAGTTATGAAGTTTATAGTTAAATTCCAATTTTTTCAGTTGTATACATAAGTTTATTGAAGAAAAAACAACAAAAAAATAAAAATAAAAAAATCAGATGGACAACAAATGAAAGTTTTCAATTAACAATTTTTTACAGTTGTAGGTATGCACAACCCTATTTTTTTTAGTGTGGATATGAATTTATTGAGCTATAATATAATACGGATACTGTGCGTCGAATCAAAATTATATTGTAATTCTTTGATAAATGTTTGACATAATGTTGTCCAATTAACAATTATTTGATGGTTTACTAATTATAATTAATGAACCTTTCAACATTTGTTGCTTTTTGTGGGGTTGTTGAGAGAATAATTGATTAAGACAAAATAGGTCAACAACAGAAATATTGAATAATTATTTTGCTATAATAATTTACTATTGAATAATCAATATATAATACAACAAATAAATATACTATATAATGGAAAGAATTACAATCATGCTATAATAAATAAATAAAATATAATAAATAAAGGCCATTTCTAGCTCATATATTGAGCTCTTATTTTTTTGGTACCATAAACAAAATCATCATAATTATTATAACTAGAAGTATAGAAATATTTTTTATTTTTGAGATTATATTGTAGAATAATCAATTATTCTTTAGGATCATTTGGTCTATAGAGTTGAATTGTTCGTTTGTTTGTTGCTTGGACTGGTCTTGAATTTGTCTCAGATTCCTACAAAAAAATAAATCGAGAGTGTTATTGAAATAATTTATAGGTACATAAATATCTACGACTTATATTGAGACGGAGGAATATACTCATAAGACTTGCTATGAAAACTTATATATTATCATATGTCAACTTAATTTATCGTTGATCAATTTTAATGTCAACGTATATTATAATTAAGTTAAATCTAAATATGAAGCTAGAATAATTGATAAATTATTAGGATATAAAACATAATTATAAATAACTCACATCATGAACTGCTTCGCGAATTAACTTCATTTGTTCTTTTGTAACAGTCCTCACCTGATAAAATACAAAACAAATGATATCGAATATTAACTTCAAGATATATTACAAGCATGAAATATTGCGCTTTCACATAAATAATACATATTGACTGATTTCAGTCGAACTCGTAATTTTAGAACTTTTGAAATTACCTTTCTTACAATAGTCCATACAACATCTTGAGTGCAAGGAGGAACAGTCAAAGAGCCAATATATCTATAATATTTTCTGCTACCCAATTTCACCTTTTTTGGATCAATTACTCCTATATTTCTCTCCACATTTTTTGTATGTGCTAGAGCTTTCAAATCACTCTCAATCTGAAATTAAAAATATATCATAGTTAATATTATTTTATCAGTGACGTACACAAGATTTTTTTTATGTTCTAAAATTTATTATAGTGTTGAATTTTTTTATACTGTCAATGTATAAAAATTTAATTCGTGTTTAGTGTAATGTACCATAGACAAGAAGGGATCAGCTCTTCCAATTTTGTACATTATTCCAACAACTGCAGTCTTTCCATCTTCACTTTCATGTACCAAATGAACCTCCAAATCAAATCTGCATTATTTAATTCATACAATATTTTGTTATAAGAGAAAAAAAAATAGAGCTCGATGCACAAAGCATTTTGTATTCATGCAGGGTTTCTTGAAGATCAAGACACACATCATGAGATGAGATGTAGACAATCTATCTATCCTAATACAAACATTAGTGACTGGTTCCATAACTCGAAAGTCGAATTCATGAACTATAAATCACACGGAGATAATTTTGTTGTTACATTGAAAAAATATGTAATAGTAATAAATAAATTAAGTACCTTCTTCCATTGATGGTATGTTCAGAAGGTGAATGCCAATGAGCTTGATTGAGTTGATATTTAGTTCCATTTATTTTAATATGTCCAGCTCCACCTTCCCATCTTAACTGCAAGTAATAAATAATTTATTATTCATTAAATTCATCACAATTTTTTTAAAAAAGAAATAATAAAAATAATCTTTTAATATGGGAATTTAATTTCCAAAAAACTATACATATATTTACTAATTAATCAATACAAGTTGCTAATGTAACGACCCCATATATAACTTCCCTCTTAATATCAAGAAATTAAACACCTAACTTTATATTATATAGTTGCAAATTCAACAAAGTAAGGTGGTAGGTTAAATAGTAATTAACAGTAGACAAAAATGATTGTATATTTGATTAATTTCATGTGTAGTAGGTTAAGTTTGTTGATTTTATGTTTTTTAGTTAGTGATATATGAAATTTTTAAAAAAAATAATAATATTAACAAATATTGATTATATGAAAGGAAAATGATTTCCGTCCATAAGTAGAAAAAAAAACATTTTTCCTCTTTTTCAGTTATTTGAAAGAAAAATGAGTTTCATCGTACCAAACAGATCAAAAAACTTACCATCATATCATGTCCTCTATTCAAGAGAGTAGCATAGGATGATGTTTTGTAGCTTCTATGAAGTCTTCCCAAATGAGAAACAACTTCAACTCTCTCATTTAAAAGATCAATTGGAGATTGCAATTTTCCAGAGTTACACATTTTCCATTCTGGATGAATTTCACCCCAATGTGTTGGTCCATTTTCACTCTCTCTATCATAACTAAACTCACTTTCATCATCTGTAAAAAATAAAATAAAAATCATGAAAAAATATTATAATTAGAAATCATAGTATATAGTTGTAAATCGATAGATAAAACTCTCTTTTTATCATCTTGTGTCAAATGTAACATAAAGTTATAAATTGTGACACAAATGATTATTAGAGCTCGATCATAATTGAATGGCAAGAGGTCTGTCAATTCGGTTGTTCGTCAATAGACGAAGCTCTCTCTTTATCATCTTGTGTCAGATGCAACGTAATGTTGTAAATTGAGACACAAATGATTATTAGAACTCATAATAATTGAATGGAAAGAGCTCCGTCAATCCGATGTTCATCAAAAAGATAAAGCTCTCTCTTTATCATCTTGGGTCAGATGCGACGTAAAGTTATAAATTGAGACACAAACTATTATTAAAACTCATAATATTATTTGAATGACAAGAGCTTTGTCATGATTAACGAAACTCTCTCTTTATCATCTAGTGTAGAAACAATCATTTAAGAGACAAATTAAAGAATACTAACCAACTTCATGACATGTTGCAATGAATGCATTTGTGAGGAAAAGAAAAGAAAGGAACAATATTTTGTTGGTTCTTGTAAGCTTTGTCTCCATATTTATTTTCCCAAGAAGAAAAGAATTTTGTGTTTTGTTGTTGTTAAGGATGCAATTTTAGTAATATTAAACGTTACTTATATAGAAGAAAAAACTAAAGCAGTCTTAGTGGAAATTGAAATGTGAATGTGAAATTGACCAAAAAGATCTTAAAAACTATCTTTGACTACACATGAGGAAGAAGTTTCTAGGCTCTAGCTATTTCAGGTGAACATGTTTCTTTTGATTTCTTATCCGATGTACGATATTCATATTGTGAAATAAGACTAATTTGATTCGCATTGCATAACGTATGTCTCTTACATAATATATAAATGTGTCTTTTAACTTGGCCTCAACTGATATTTATGTCTTCTAATTTATGGTGTGTAAAATTTATACAAAATTGCACAAATAGACATGACATTCGTTCTACATGACATCTTACATGACAATTTTGTGTCCTGCATGTTCAATTTATACAAATTAAAGTGACTAGTTGTACACACTCAAAGTTGAAGGACATATATATGTGTCAGTTTAAGCCAGGTTAAAGGACATATTTATGTATTATGCCGCCATAATTTTTATCAAGATACTTTTTATTTTCAAGACTTGAACTCAAAATCTATCGTTAAAATTGGTGAACATATTCTATTCATCTAGTCGAGCACAAGGGGGTTTAAATTTTATTAATAAATTATATGTATATATATATATATATATAACAACACACAACTAACAATAATAATATACCCAGCAATAACTTCTTGCAAGTGGACATTATATTGAAATTCGTAGGAGGTTTGATATTTATATTGAGATCATGGCTAATTAAATTGATTCAGGTAATGTATAACACATTCTTTAACATTTTTAATTTTATTTTCAGGAATATTTGAACTCAAAATTTATCTTTAGAAGTGAAAGAGATCTTGTACATCTCATGGGTTAAGTCAATATTAAATTTTTTGGAATTATGAATATTTTATATTTTACATTTTTAGTGAAAATACTAATTCGATTTTGTTACAAAATTCATTCCACCACATTTTTTTAGCAATAGTAAAGCAAGTTTGAAGCATATGTTGTTTTCTTTTAGTCAAATCATAATTAATACAAACATAAAAAGACAATCGACAGTTCTTTTTCAAATATATTTTCTTTGACTCTTCATGTTGGAAATTCTATTTCAATTTTTCAATCAAATTCATTTTATTGAAAAAGATCCCCTTTTTTTAATTAAAAAATGCATGTGTCTTTTACCTGAATTATTCGTTTATATTAGGCATTATATCATGTCATATATTTATTAACTTGATAACTTCATTATATATTCATCTATCTATAGTTATTTTTTTATAAGTTTCCGTTTTCTTAAACTCTAAACTTATCTTGATTTTTAGTTTGTATTTTCAACCGAATATTCTGAAATCATGAGTAATATAAATATTTATATTAACCGTCAATTAATCAGTATTAAATATGTACAAATCAATTTTTTTATTCATAATTTTTATTTAATTATTTATCTTGTCTATTCAAATTCGATCCAACTCGACCATTTGTTATTTTGGTGGCTGCAGCAGTGCGCAGTACTAGGAATTTCACCTACCAATATTGACCGTAATAAAATACTGCAACTTACATATATAAAATTATATTGACCATTATAATCTAGAGCTATGTTATTGTGGGGATTTCGTTAGAAAATAATACAGTATATATAAGTAAAATAATATATAAAATAGTTAAACAATATATCTTAAATATCCTTAGCATAATAAGATGTTATTATTTCTGAATATATTTTTAAAATTCCTTAAATAGCCCTATTATAGCCGTCTATTTTTGCAACAAAAAAAGAGAGTAAGATTTTATCGATAAATAAAAATGAAGCATCAATACTTTGATTTCAAAAACGTATACATGCACCTATATAATATCTCATTTTAATTAAAAACTACGGGTTATATTATATATTTGATTGTAATTATATATGTATTTTTAAAGTAAAAGTTGAATGTATGTCTGATCAACTTTATGTCAGTATATATGGACACTAACAATCAGTGGTGTAGCTACAGCCACCCAGTGTACACTCTTGTCGGAAATTACGTTCTATATATATGTTAAATTCTACATTTAAAGGATGTATATTTAAGGTTGGACATCCTTGACAAAAGTTATGCCTAGGGGTGTTCACGGTTTGGTTTGGGTTGGTTATTGGTCAAAATTAAAACCAAACCAACTTAATCGGTTTTAAAATTATCAAAACCAAACCAAACCAAATATAATATACATTTATAGGTTTGGTTGTTTTCGGTTTCGGTTTGGTTTGGTTCGGTTATTAACCATACATAAAAATAAAAGAAACAATTCATTCAAAACGTAAAAAAAAGTGACAACAATCTATTCAAACAAAAAAATAGTTAGAATGATTGGCATGACATAACTTTTGATCATTGAATTTACTGAATAAAACTTCAAAATTCATTATTTTGGCATAGAAGGAAGAGACAATGACATTTTCAGTCCCACAAAGAATTTCCATAGACACTCATATACATGAAACCAATAAGAAAAATGTCTCACCTTGGACATTTTTTCTTTCATAAGTAAATTATAAAGAAAAATAAATTTTGATGAAACATATATAAAATCTATAAAATTGTTTATGAATCTAATATATTATGTATGTATAATAATAAAATTTATGTATATAACTTGTTGATTTGGTTCGGTTATTTCTTCGATTTTTTTTGAACAAAATCATAACCAAACCAAATACTATCGGTTCTTAACAATCTAAAACCAAACCAAACCAAAACCCAAATTAAATCGGTTCATTTAATCGGTTTGATTTGATTTTTCGGTTCGGATCGGTTTTTATCCAAACCATGAACACTCTTAGTTATGCCTTTGCGTAGTGGCAATGAGTGTCCATATGAATGAAGGAGTTCCTGATTCGAACACCAAATAACATAATATTTTTTTTGTTTTATTTTGACAGTCACACTATTATTCTTGGATATATATATATATATATATATATTATAAAATTGAATAATTCATTATGGTATGTAATTTTTTAAAGTACCATTATATGGACTGAATCGAGATCGCTACGAATTTTGATAACTTATTTTTCTGCTTTTTTATTGCCACCTTCTAGACACCATTGGGAATCCTTAGTTAATTAAAGTGCTTTTTTAATTTATTTATTTAATTCTTTGATACTTGAAATTATTCTTTAATTTGACATAATGACAAGTATTATATGCTGATCTTTCTGAATTCTGATGACCTATCAAGTATTTCTACAATATTTCTTTCTTAATTATAATAAGCATACAAAATCTATGAATTGATTTTGAATCCTTTTGTTTCATTATTTTTTTCTTGAAATGATCATTAACAGATTATTTTATATGTTAGTATTATTTGGAAATTGTTTGTTAGATTTGATAAGAACCTAATGTTGAAAAATAAAATAAATAAATACTATTTATGTAGAAGTGTGGATATTTAGTTTTTTTTAAAGATTCAAGTCTATTGTGACATAATCTTCACTGATTCAACAATATAACTTTTGACTTCTCTCCCTCTAGGATACAACTCCGAATTAGTTGAAGCTCAAAAAACATATTCCTTCAATATAAAATCATGACTCTCTTTGTATAGTAAAAAAGTTGAAGACTTGGCATATTTTTCTTCTTCTCAACCTAGAAATTAAGATAAATTAGTTGATACAATATATTATATTACATGGATAATTAATATCAAATTTTCTACAATATTACATTGTAAATATTTTTCTTAGTTGCTACCTTCTAGACACTCTTGAGAAGCCTTGGAGAGTTGTTGCGTGTGGAGACCCCTTAATTAAAATAATTATTCTTCTATGATTTATTTAATTAATGATACTTTAAATTGTTCTTAATTTGACACAATGACATCTATAAGTAGATATGCTGATTGTTTCAATGACCTATCATAAATTTCTAGAATATTTCACTGTTATTATACTAAGCATAAAAATCTATGGATTAGTGTAAATTAAATAACAGCAATAAATTCAATATAATTTTATAAGAAAAAAAGAATAGAACACACATACTTAATTCCTATTACATAATAACAGTAAATCCAATATAATTTTATAAGAAAAAAGAATAGAACATACATAGACTTTAATCCTATTAAATAACACCAACAAATCCAATATAATTTTATAAGAAAAAAAATTAAGCATACACAGACTTCATTCCTATTTCGTGGGATAAAAAAATTGTTTAAAATGTGTGTAAAGTGTAAACATGTGTGAGAAATACACTATTCATGCCCAATATTTGCACCAAATGATGTTATATAAAAATCTTAAAAGTCAAAAATCAAATTTAAATAAGATTTACATATGGTATAATTAATCATCATTAAGTTTGGCCAATTTTGAAAAATATATTTGTTGACACCCAATTTTGGACCTCCACATTATATATTAATCGCCGAGCCTCTTCAATTTCAAACGATTTAAAATAATTAGTCGTATAAAATTTCAAAATAATAATAATAATAATATGTAATGTAGTTTGCAAGTTATTTCAAATAGTTTGTCGTTTTATACTTATTTAAATAACGCATATGTTCTATATAAATATGTGTCTAATTAGTATATTCTATGAATATTCGAAAATCATCTCAAAAATATTTTATTTTAATTAAATATTTGGTTAATCATTTTTAGTTATATAATAGCTTATGTTTTAAATTGTTTAGTTTATAACTAAGTCAATTATTTTATTTCGTTAAGGTTAAGAAGCTCATTATTTAATTTATACAAATTTGTCTTGTTTAATTTTTGGCTAAATTAGCTTGCCTATTGTCTAATTATAATTTTTAGCCAAATCTATCAAATTGGTTTCAGTCCATTGAGAGACCAGATTTTGGGCCCATTTCGTCAACCCAAATCACTTTCCATCAGCCCCCCATTTACCACTTGATTCCACAAACCCATCAGCAAACATTACAACATGCAATACATACGTACACCAATGCCTCTATTA